GAAGAGACTTGGATTGGAAAGAAGCTGAAGCTAGAGTACTTACGAGTATTTGGTTGTGACGCATATGTCATGACCAATCCTGCAGACCAGTCAAAGCTTAATCCAAAGTCAAAGAAGCTCTCTTTCATCGGCTATGGAGGAGATGAGTATGGGTACCGTTTCTGGGATCACGATACGCGCAAGGTGGTGCGCAGTCGTGACGTCGTGTTCCATGAGAATGCGGTGTACAAGACCAAAGAGGTGAGTGGGAGTCAGCTATCTCCTCCTCTTTTCCCAGATATTACTGACAGTGAGGACAGTGGTGAGATACCAATCAGCATAGAAGATGGAGACCGAGAGAACGTACAGAATGCATAGCAGCAGGATCCAGCAGAGTTTCTGATCGTAATTCGTAAAGCTCCAAGAAATCCAAGGGTGTCAAAGAGGTACCTTTCCATCATGAATTATCTTCTCCTGACTGACAATGATGAGCCAGAGAGCTATGAGGAGGTACAGCAGACCGACAAAGCTCGGGGCGAGTGGGAGTCTGCCAGGAGGAAGAAATAAAGTCCTTAATGAAGAATGGGACTTGGGAGCTTGTAAAGCTTCCAAGGGGGCGAAAGGCTCTTCACAATCGGTGGATTTATCGGGTCAATAATAAAGCCGAAGGACGGAGACGTTACAAGGTGATGTTTGTACTGAAGGTCTATGAGTAGAAAACAGGGATAGACTATTCTGATGTTTTTACTCCCGTCGTCAAGTTGACCACAATCCGGACTGTACTGAGCATTGTAGCAGTTCGAGATCTCCATCTAGAGAAGATGGATGTGAAGACGGTATTTCTTCATGGAGATTTGGAGGAAGAGATCTATATGCATCAACCAGTGGGTTTCGAAGAACGAGACAGGGAGGGCCTCGTGTGTCGCCTACGTAAGAGCTTATATGATTTGAAGCAAGCTCCGCGACAGTGGTACATGAAGTTTGAGAACTTTATGGAGAATAATGATTTTCTCAAATGTGACACAGACCACTGCTGCTTCATCATCCAGAGATATGACCAATCTTATGTGATACTCTTGATTTATGTTGATGACATGTTGATTGTAGGGCCCGACTTGGCCTGCATTGAGGAACTCAAGGGGCTTCTCTCCGAGTGCTTCGAGATGAAGGATTTGGGTTCAGTACACCAGATTCTGGGGATGAGGATCATCAGAGATAGATCAGCACGGAGGCTGAGGTTGTCTCAGAAGGCCTACATTGAGAAGATTCTTAAAAAGTTTGACATGGAGAAAGCTAAACCAGTGGGCTCGCCGTTTGTAAGCTATTTCAAGCTATCGAAGACCCAACCACCTAAAACTGCTAAAGATCATGAGTTCATGGCCAACATACAATATGTATCTGCCGTCAAGAGTTTGATATATGAGATGGTGTGCACGAGGTCAGATATTGCACAATGAGTGGGAGTTGTGAGCCGCTTCATGAGCAATCCAAGGAAACAACACTGGGATGCGATCAAGTGGCTTCTATGCTACTTGAGAAGCTCGTCCGACCGTTGTCTTGCATATGGCAGGACAAATTTACAGCTAGAGGGTTTTTGTGATGCAGACTACGCAGGGGATATAGACTCAAGAAGGAGCACGAGCGGCTACATCTTCATCTTGGGTGGTGGAGCGATAAGTTGGAGATCCAAGTTACAGGATACTATGGCTTTGTCGACAACCGAAACCGAGTACGTGTCTGCAGCAAAAGCAACAAAGGAGTTTTTATGGTTGAAGGCTTTTCTTCTCGAGCTTGGAGTAAGCTTTGAGAAATACTTCATCCACTGCGACAGTCAAAGTGTCATTCACTTGTCAGAGAACGACGCATTCCATGCTCGGACCAAGCATGTTGACGTGAAGCACTATGTCATACGGAGATGGAAAAGCAGGAACGAGTTCAAGCTTGTAAAGATTGATACGAGGTACAATCCAGCTGATATGCTGACCAAGCCAGTTCCGCTCGAGAAGGTGAGGCTGTGTGCAGCCTCATATGGCATCCATTGAGAATGTTGAGGACAGTGCAAGACGCCAAAGATACAAGACATCCAGATGATGCAATCAAGAATGGTGTGAAGATATGATTGATACTCAATCAAATCTTCAAGTGGGAGATTGTCAGCCGCTCTTTATTGACAAAGGACAGTTACGCATCAAAAGTTGCCATTTTTTGAGAAAAATGAAAAATATGGTGGGTCCCACCGAGTCTCGTTAATAAAATATTATTAATGATGGGTCCCACTAATAATATTTTATTAGTGCATAGTATTTTCTCAAATACTATAAATAGGGTCCTAAACTCTTAAAGAAATCTTATCGCAGAAACAACTCCTCTCATAAAAGAGTAAGAGAGAAAACACAGAGAGAGATTATGAGAGTTCTTAGAGTGTATATGATCAAGAGAGGATATTCTCTTTGATCTATTCTTTTGGGATATAAAAGAATTTAGCGTCGTCGTTGTACCGTGGAGTAGCTCCAAAGGAGTGAACCACATATATCTGTGAATACTGTGATTGATTTTTGTGCCTTTATTTTGTGTATTACGTCTACGTTCGAGGTGTTATTATTGGTGTGTACCCTAACAAAGCTAGCTGTAAAATAGATCCTCAAATACTTGAAGGGAACTTCAGGTGTTGGCTTCGTGTTTGATGGGAATAGTGGTACAAATTGCATTGCTACTAGATATGTTGACTGAGATTTTACAGGTGATTTGGATAAGCATAGATCGACTGTAGGTTATGTTTTTACTCTTTTGAGAGGTTCTATCTGTCGGAGATCAATGCTACAACCTACAATTGCTTTGTCCACTATAGAAGCGAAGCTCATTGCGGCTACAGAAGCTGTCAAGAAAGCAATATGGTTGAGTTTGGTGAATTAGGAGTTTAGCAAAAAAATTAGCCTTGTTCATTGTGATAGCCAAAGCGCAATTCATTTGGCTAAGCACCCAGTCTTCAATTCAAAATCGAAGCACATTGAGATTCGATATCACTTCATTAGAGAGATTGTAGAGGAACGTAAAGTAGTCTTGAAGAAGGTTGATACCAAGAATAATCCAGCGGATATGTTGACGAAGTCATTATCAGTAATCAAGTTCAAGCTGTGCTTAGACTAGTTTCATTTCCTAGACATTGAGGCGCCATAGGGCGCATTTGCAAAGGCATTGGCAACACGCTATTGAGAAAGTGAAGAACCCATTCGGGATTTTGAGTCATGGTAGAGATTTGTTGACAAACATGCCTCAAATCCCTTAATCCTCATTAACTTTGGATTCTAATGCAACTAGAATTTCCTAGCTGCAGTTGCATTGAAGCACATTGGATAGTAGAGGCCCAGATTCGAATTAGTACCAACAGTAATTCTTTGGGTTCTCCTTTTTAAGTATCGACAAATAGATCGCGTTAGGCACACGAGGAATCTCCGATCAAAGCGGTTGCAGACCGCTATTGACGGAGAGAAAGGCTGGCAAAAAAATTGTAGTTGAGGAAGTTGTAAACAGAACTTAACTATGGTGACACCTACCCTATTAAGCTCTCAAGGGCTCACGCCCAGTCTTCCTATCCAATCGTTAGAATTTAAGTTGCTGAAGAATTATCGGAAGTC